TGTGGGTCAATCTGCCCCCCTTGCAAAAATTCTCGTGTTAGAAAACCAGGAAGATGATTAGCAGTACCTTTTAGAAGTTCAATAGTAAAATCTAAGGAAGAAAGGATAGCTTGCCACCTAGCAAAGATCTGTTTAGAAATTAAATTTTGCACATCTTTAAGTAAAATATCTTTGGCTGCTTTGCAATCAGTTCTGATGAGAAAAGTAGTATTAAGGACGTCACTCTGAAATTTAGTAACACAATGTACTATAGCTAATATTTCCTTTTTAATAGTGGAATAATTCTTTTCAATGGGCTTCCACTATTTAGAAGTAAATCGAACTAATTGTTCAACACTTCTTTTTTGTTGTTTTAATATTCCTCCTAAGCCTAATTCAGAGGCATCACATTCTATAATCTTATATGCATGTGGATCTGGTAAAGCTAAACATGGTAACTCTTTTGCTTTAAGTTTTAATCTTTTGACTGCTATGGTATGTTCTTCTGTCTATTTAAGAGGGTTTTTTCATAATCTATCATATAATGGTTTTGCTTCTATAGTAAGATTTTCATAAAAATTAGATATATAATTTAGACATCCTAAGGATCTTTGTAATTCTTTTTTATCTAATATTATATGAGGAAATTTATCAGCAAATTGGATTGCTCTATCTATAGGTACAATTGTACCTTGATAAATATTATGTCCTAAATATCTTATTTTAGTTTGAAATAAACTTTTCTTTTTTGCAGAGGCAACCAATTCTGCATGCTTTACAGCATTAATAAAAACATTTATATGTTTAATATGTTGAGGTATATTTCTGAGAAAATTAAAACATCATCTATATATACGATCATAAATTTTAAATAAGGATTAAATACATCATTCATTATTTTCTGAAATTCTGATGGAGCATTTTTTAGATCAAATGGCATAACATTCCACTCAAATTGTCTAAAGGGTACATTAAATACAGTTTTATATCTATCTTCTTCTTTTATTTGAATTTGCCAATATCCTAATTTTAAATCAAATTTTCAAAAAATACAAGTATTTATTAGTCTATCTAATAGATCCTTTTTATTTGGTATAGGATACCTTATCCATTGGAGTGCTTTATATAATGGTTTATAATTTATTACTAATCTTGGAACTCCTCTTTCTTTTTCTGCATTCTTATTCACATAAAATGCAGCACAACTCCAAGGGGATACACTTTTTCTAATCAGACCTTTATTAATTAAGTCATCTATTTCTTTTTTACAAAATTCTAGTAATTTTGCATCCATTTGTATTGGCCTTGCTTTAGTAGTTATTTTATTTTCAGTAAAATCTGGTTCATATGGTAGGCTAACCATATGCTTCTTTCTTTCTCAAAAAGCATTAGGTAAATCACTACATATTTCTTTTTCAATTTGGGTCTTTCTTAAAATAATTTTTTCCTGGGTTTCAGGAAGAGATAGATCTTCTTCTACTTGTTTATATTTTATTTATGTTTTAAAATAGCAGAGGAATTTTTCTTTATTTTCTATATGATGTTTTACATTATTAATCTCTTTAATTTTTGGCTTATCTATGAATTCCAATTTGATTTTATGACCATCTATTGTTGTTTCTATACCAGTAGTATCTATAGTTAAAGGATAAAGTAGGCTTAAAAAAGGTGTTCCTAATATTACAGCCTGACTTAAACCTTTAACCATGATAAAAGGTGTTGTTATACAATTACTATTATTACAAACAACTGTATTAGACAACTTATATTTAATTATTAATCTGCTTTCATCTGCAGTATTCAGAGCTTGTTTTGTTTTATCAAAATATTTGGTAGGGACAAGACCTTCATTGATACAGTTTAGATCAGCTCCAGAGTCTATTAATGCTAAAGATTGAAAACTATAATCATTTTTTACTATAAATCTTATCAGAGTAAACTATTTTTGTATAATTATTCTATTTATTAGATTCAAATTGTTTTCAATATTGGTCTCAGAAGGTTCAGGAGTTTCTATTATGGATTTATTATGAATATCTACTAGTTGATTAAATTCTAATTCATCTGTGTCAGATAATTCTCCTGATACTTCATTATGAAGTTCTAATATTTTAATTTTATTTTTTAGTTGTTGTACTTCTTCTTTGACCTCATTTACTTCTCTTTTTTAAATTAGATATTGTAGATTCTTTATTCATTATATCCCTTTTATTTATTCTTTTTATGATTTTTGAAAAACTATATCCATCTGCTGATTTTATTAGTGGTGGTGATTTATTTTTTAATTTAGCTATTTTTAAATATTGAGTTATTACTTCTCGTTTTTCATTAGGGTTTGCAATCTTTTCTATTAGATCTAATATGAAGTTTTCTTCATTAGTTAGAGTATTGCAAGAACATTCTTCCATTTTTTCATTATCTGATTGATTTTCAGAACTACTCCATACTAGATTTTCATCTTCAATATGACCTATTAATGAGCTATCACTTTCATTTGTGTCTTCAGTAGAATTACTATTTGAATCATAGATTTGTATTACATCATAGATTTTATTTCTAATAATTTCATCTAATATTATAGCATCTATTTTTCGTTTCACTTTGTAATTTCTTTTATAATGTCCAACTTTTCCACACTTATAACATATAGGTAATTTCTTTTTTCTTTTTTTGGTTTTAGGGGAAAATACTTTCACCAATTGAGGGTCCTCGGTGGACTTGATCCCAGTGGTGCAGGAGCTTCATTTTGGCTCTGAGGCCGTCTAGTGGGTGCCCTTGGTAGGCTTTACTCCCAATCTAGTTGGTGGGGAAGGGCTGATCTGGGTTTTTGTCAGCATCTTGTAGTATTCTTCGCTTTGAGTGAGTGCCTTTCTTAAGGGATTTCTCTCGCATCAAAGGATGAATTTGCAAAAACTGAGGGTCCTTGGTGGACGTGATCCCTGTGGCGCAGAAACTTCATTTTGGCTCTGAGGCCGGCTAGTGGGTACCCTCGGTAGGCTTTACTTCCAAATCTAGTTGGTGGGGAAGGGCTGATTTGAGTTTATGTTAGCATCTTCCAATCTTATCGGCTTTGAGTGAGTGCCTTGCTTAAGGGCTTGCTCCCACATCAAAGGCTGAATTTATAACAACTGAGGGTCCTTGGTGGACTTGATCCTAGTGGAGCAAAAACTTCATTTTGGATCTGAGGCCGGCTAGTGGGTGCCCTTGGTAGGCTTTCCTCCCAATCTATTTGGTGGGGAAGGGCTCATCTGGGTTTTAGTTAGCATCTTCCAATCTTCTCGGCTTTGACTGAGTGCCTTGCTTAAGGGCTTGCTCCCACATCAAAGGCTGAATTTGCAATAACTGAGGGTCCTTGTTGGACTTGATCTTAGTGGTGTGGGAACTGAGGGCCCAATATTTTGCTGTAGCTGGTTGAAGTTGTCTTTGATCAAGAGCCGCATCAACCTGTTTATTAGTCGATGCGCCCTTTTGAGTCTTCACCTGAACTAGATAGAAGTGGCATCATAAAAATGATTTTCACCGAATTCTTCTTTCTATCGAGGCTCTTTTACCCGTGACTTTGAGGACACGTCCACATTCTATTTCCATTTTTATTCATGGTGCCCTTTCGAGTTTTCACCATGCCCTGTTTTTTTATTTTCAATATGCTCTTACTCATGGCCTTGTGGCCATGCCTGCCTTTCATTTTTACTCATGGCATCCTTGTGGTTTTCACCTGGTCTGATTCTTTTCATTTTTGGCTATTTTACCTACAGCTTCATGGTTATGTTCGCCTGAAGCTCTCATTTTTACTCATGATAATTCTCATCAGATGTTCATCATGCCCGACTTTTTTTCTTTTTACAGAGATCCTTTTTCCTTAACAAGGCATATGACAGAGGGGTCACGTTTGGATAAGGCTCAATGGGGTGATAAACATCATAGGTGAGGATTTTATTTAGGGAAGTCAACTGCACTGGGTATTTTTGAGTCCTTTTCACTGTAGTGTATGGTTCATGTTTGTTGGGTATGGGGTTTGAGATGGTCCAGTGGCTAGCTGACGCAAAAAACTCCACAGGGGATGAAAATGTGTTTGGAAGGTAAGGAAATAGTTACCTCCCTAAGGAGGATAATGGTTTTGCATGTAATAATTGTTTTTAAGATCTCTGAAGATTGATTGGGTTGATCCAGGGTTGTACTCGATTAGTGAGCCCATGGCTTAAAATAAAAGGGTATAGAATGGGGGCTAATGCGCTCAAGGTTTTGGGCTTCATTCGGACCAAAGATTACCCACTGAGGGGCTAGCGTGTGTAGGTAGTTCAAAGAGCATAGCCCATTTGTCTACTAAGTGTAATTGTGCACATGTGCGTGCTAAGCCCCTATCTAAGCCGGGCATTTGTGTGGGTCTGCAAATGTTTGAATAAACTCAAGAGACAGGGGTACAAGAATGAACCAGATGGGGCTGCATATATATGCGTGCCCACATTTGTATGAAAATTTGGAAGAGGAGTAGGTGTTGTCAGGGTTGCATGAAATGCACGTGCCCAAATTTGTGTGAGGGTGAGGGGTCATGAAGTCAATTCAACGGGACCGCGCGAGCTCGCATGCCTATGAGTTTAGACGTGAAACTGGGCATAATGAAGATGGAGGCATGACGAAGCTGCCGGTTTGTGCAGAAAGACATGCTCGTACGCGTGAAGAGCGAAAAGAAGAGTTTCTTTGACGGAGCCGCGCAACATCCGTGTGCCCGAGAAAAGAGGGGAGGAGAAGATACTTGGACGGGGCCGTGCGTAAGGTGCGTGCCCAGGTTTGCACGAAGGGTCGGGAAGACACTTTGGTGGGGCCACACGACATCCGTGTGCCCAGGTTTGTATGAAAGGACATAGAGAAAAGATATCTTGACGGGGCTACACGAGAAGTGTGTGCCTGGAATTTATAGAAGAAGGCATATTGACGGGGCCACGCAAAAAGTGTGTGCTCGAGCTTTTCTTGTGTAACGGGGCTGCTCGATTGGGCGGATGTAGGATTTTAGTGAAGGAAGCTCGAATGACATGTGACGGAGCTGCGGGTAACTGCTGAACAAAGAGACGCACGTACAAGAAGGAGAGAGAGTTTAACCTAGGGTAATTTGGGCTTTTTACCACTTCAACTCACCTTCTCCATTTGTTTTCCGAGAGATAGTGAAAACCGCAGATCTCATCATTACAGAAGAACGTCTTTCAGAGCCATGGCTAGCACGAGTTCTGCTGTTCCTCAAGGTATAGCCCCCTTTTCTTTTTGTTCACCGTCCATGTCATTTTTTCACCATTTCTTACCTCACTTTCTTATTTCACCGTTTTACTGCACACCAAAGTGTTTTGATTTAACGTCCAAACGAGTATTTTTGCGCAATTTGTGTTGCACTTGGAGGTCTTTCAAACGAACTTGTCTTGTTTGATGGTTCTTGCTGCTTTATGAACCATTTCACAAGCTCTTGATGCATTTTTCTTTGATCTCTTGACTTGGTCATAAGCATGATGCTCATGCGTCATGAATATTTAGGCACAGTGTTATCTGCGCGAATGCACCTGTGCCTCTCGGTGAGGCTAGTCGAGCTTGAGTGAGCTTGTACATGCTCAAGTGTCATGTGCATTCAATCAAAACTTTGCTCGTGCGTTTGCACGGTGTCTTATTTGGCATGAACTTGGGTGTACATAGCTGCGAATGCCTAGGTGAGGCATTTGGGTTCACGTACGCACCATATGTGCCTTGCTGAGTTTAGCCATTCCAGAGTTTATGCTTGCACAAATCAGAAAACCTATGAGCTTTGCGCATGTACGCGCTATGTGAGCCATGGTCAAACTTGAACTTACGTGTGTACGCGCTATGTGCGCCATGGCCAAACTTGAACTTGTGTGTGCACACGCTATGTACGTTGTGACCATGCTTGAATCATGTGCGTGCACGAGCTATGAGCGCTGTGACCACGCTTGACCATTGCGCGTGCACGTGCTATGAGCACTGTGACCATGCTTGAATCTTGTGCGTGCACGTGCTATGAGCACTGTGACCATGCTTGTATCTTGTGCGTGCATGCGCTATGACCACCTTGACCACGCTTGAATCCTGTGCGTGCATGCGTCATGAGTACTGTGATCATGCTTGAATCTGTTGCATGCACGCACTATGAGCACCGTGACCACGCTTGAATCTTGTGTGTGCATGCACTATGAGCACTGTGACCACGCTTGAATCTTGTGCATGCAAACGCTATGAGCGCTACGACCACACTTGAATCTTGTGTGTGCACGCGCTATGCTACGACCACACTTGAATCTTGTGTGTGCACGCGCTATGAGCACTGTGACCATGCTTGAATCTTATGTGTTCACGCGCTATGAGCACTGTGACCACGCTTGAATCTTGTGCGTGCACGTGCTATGAGCACTATGATCAAGCTTGAATCTTGTCCGTGCACGTGCTATGAGCACTGTGACCACTCTTGAATCTTGTGTGTTCCTGAGTTTGTGCGTGCATGCACCATGATTGCTCTACCCTTTGGCCTGAAGCCTTGAACTCCTGCGCATCAATTTGGCACATTATCACCATATTTGGTGTGTTCATTTACCCATGATTTGGGAACCATGAACTATATGCTGATACTTTTTTTTCTTTGTGCTTATCGTCAAAATTCTTGACGTGAACCAGTTGAGGAATTGGGAACCGATTCCTATGCATGTGCTTCTTTTGTCAGGGGGACCACACTTAGTATCCTCGAACCCATCCAGGCACTAGAATGGCCCATGAGCATCACTTACATGGGAGAGGAAGCTCGGCTTTGCCAATATGAGGATGATAATGGTGAACCCATAGTTCAAGGGGATGGTGTCCCCTTTTATGATGCACTCCATAGGAACATTGATTCCAGTGAGAATCTTCCTATACTGGGGAAGAGCATGTTTGAGAAGCCTGGTCTTCATTGGGCCCCTGATGGACTCCGTTTTGAGGGGGAGCATCAGGTACAGCACTTGGACTTTTGACATCCTTAACCTGCATTCAAAGGCTTTGAAGGCATGTCAATTAGCTGTAGCATACCAGTGCTCAGCTAGCTATTACGATCGATGTCCCAACACTATCAAAGCCCTGTTGGAGACATGGTACTATAAGACCAATAACTGGCATTTTGATGGAGGTGACGCGGAAATCACCCTCCTTGATACGTACTTCGTTGGTGGGTTGCCCATGCTAGGGGACATGTACGAAGAATTCGTGCCAAGCAACGAAGTCATTTTTGGAAATCCGCCTATTAATGGCGAGCCAGTCCCTCCTGGTCTTCGTGAGTTGTTTGAGATTTACCAAATCCTACACTCATATTCTAAGCTTGCATCTAAAGGGGTGCATTTTGATGCTTGGAGGGATTATTTCCACAGGGACCGCCAAGACAGCGGGGATGCCAGTTCTAGTGCCATATGGGAGGATGAAGCACAGAGAGTATAAGTAGTCAAGGCTTCCAAGAGACAAGTTACTCCTTCTAGAAGAGGGGAGAAGGACCATGTGTACTTAGCTGCCTACATGGTCCTCTTTTTATGCAAGTTTGCCTTATTGGGATCAAGGAGCAACATCATTTGGCCGAGCTGCTTATTTGTGGCTTATAGACTGGCTCAAGGGTGTGAGTATGTCTTGGCTCATCCAGTCCTGTGCAGCATTACCACAGGCTGGGGGCTATTGCATGCGGTAAGGCCTATTTAAGAGACAACAAGAGAGAGAATCTTCTTGGTGAGGCCTTCCATGGCCACTTTACGACCAGCTTCCCAGTCCACTATGTCTTCGGGTGGCTCTCTGCATATTTTCCTGAGAGATGAACTGACCCATGTACTCCTGGAGCATACGAGATCAATGGGAGCCTTGCAGGGTGCGCCTGCCCTCATATGCTGAAAATTGTAGGATACACCCGAAGAAGCTCGCCAGTTGTTGGCCGATATCTCCTTCTTCACTAGTTGGAGCCCTTTTCCTATAGGTGGCCCCACTAATTTTTTAGAAGAAGTATGGGAAAAAGGGAGCACAGCATGATCATGAGGCTCCAGGTGTCAGTCGCGAAGCATGGATCGATGTTAATATGAGGATGGCCTAAGAGACCTGTCTTGGCCTCACAGGTCTAAGAAAATGTTTAGTCCCCCACTATTGTTGTGTGGGCCATGCAACAGAGGGTTACTGATGATGGTGGAATATCACCAATCGCTCCTATTGGCGATCAAACCATCTATGGAAAGCTGTCAACAATGCCAAACGAGACAGCAGGGCTAAGAGACACTTTGCTCCTCCATCCTTCCCAAGAGTTTGCAAGCTGGATACCCTTTAGACTAGAGAGAGCATGCCAAACCCCAATTCTTGAAGAAATACCTTACGGGTATTGAGTATCTTGCTCTGAAAGGTGAGACTACGTATCGACTCGATGATTTTTGTTCCATCTTTGAGTGGGCCAAAGGGCGTGTAGTTCTAGGCCATGAAGGTCACCTTGTTCAAGACCTGAATGCTTTAATAGGGAGGGGGCTTCATTCTACTCTTGCTGCCTGGGGCAAGAAGGCTTCTGTCAGAGAAGAGCCGAGAAGTGAACCCCTGAAAAGAGGGAAGAGAAGAAAGGGGGAAGAAAAAGGAAGGGGACAAAGAGTCCTGAGCCCATCCCCATGGCCCTCAAAAGAGGTGCTCATGTGAGCAAGAAGAGTTTATCAGTTCCGGGCACGTCACCACCACGTCCACCTGCCAAGCGTGCAAGAGCAGAGGCTTCTATGGTCATGAATGCACCTCCCATGATTTCAACTTCGGCTCTAAGAGTGGAGCCAAAAACTAATGTGGCTCAGCTCGAAATGCCAAGCCTGACCACCTTCAGTTTGAGTCATGAGCCAATAAGGGCTCCTTCTCCAATAGTGGAGGCAGTGACACCTCCTACTGCAAGACTTGTTGGGTCTCTTGTTTGCCCATCACTGAGCATAGGAGACTTCCTATGTACCATTACCGAAGAGGGGATTATTGAGGCTATCAGTGAAGCCTTAGCTGTAGAGGAGATAGCTCCAGAAGTGCCTGCTCCAGCTACTTCAGAAGTGGAGTCAGAAGTGGAGCCTCTCTTGGACGTTCCTTCCTTGGAATTGGTGGTAGAATTGGTCCTAGAGGTGCCAGCTTCAGAAGTGCATGCTGAGGAGCCCTCATCCAAGCCTCCTGCTCCTCTGGCTCTTATTGTCAGGTAGCCAGCTATTGAAGCTCCTCCTCTCATTGTAGCTGGTCCCTCAGTTCCTCCTCCATCCACACCAGATATTAAGACACTCCTAGTGAGGAGAATTCTACAATCAGGCCTCCAAGGGATAAAGGAGTGTGCCCTCTCTAATCTTAACATGGAGATAGAAGTTGTTAAGGTTTGTGCAGCAGGTTTAAGGGCCATGCATTATGACAAGGAAAGCTTTGACCAGTTCGAGGGGCTGTTGCAAAACCTTGAGGGCTGGGGAGTTGAAGCTCTTCAATGCGAGTATGAAGAACATGCGTCCTATGAGGTGTGCCTGGCTTCTTTTGAGGAGACTTTGGCCAAGCATCAGGTTCTCATGAAGAAGTATGAGAAGAGGAAGGCATATCTTGTTTCTCATCAGAACAATTTCAAGAAGGATGACCTGCTGCTCTTAGAAGAGATAAGGGTTGCTGAAGATGAAGTAGCAAACCTCCAAGCTCATATTGTGCAACTGAGGACTCGTAGGAGTCAGCAACAAGAAGAAGGCCTGAGGAAGCATTAAGAGTCAGAGAGGTTGGAATCTAACATGGCTACAGTCGGTGTATTGCAGAGTGAAATTACTCAGACGATTTCGCGTCTCAGGGAGAAGAAGCAAACTGCATTGGAGCACGTGGAGGAGCTGAACGCAAAAATCCATGAAGCCCTTGGCAAGTTCTTGGGGCTCATAGACTCCCTTTTTCTTGTTTTATCATTGTTATTCCATTTGCAAGAAATGTAATCATAAATGTGGTAATTCTTTGACATATATATGGAATAATTCTTTTTCTTATTTGCCTTGTATGCTCTCTTTGCTTGATGGTTTGCTTCTCCCTATTATGTTTTTGCACCTTTCTTCTTTTCCATGGTTTGCATCTCTTCTCTACTTCTTTGTACCCGAGTTTCATCTCCTCAAGAAAGGTGATAAGGGATGAGCCTCGAAACCTGGGAGTGAATTTGAACTCCTCCATGCATGACTTGAACGCCCTCTAGGGTTTTTGTCCAAATCCTTGGGATATGTGCCTTTTTTGGTATTCACAAGGACCCCGTATGTATTTTTTTTTTGTGGTGCTTTTGCCCATAATTTTTACACCATGTCTGCCAGTTTTATATTTTTACTCAAAATTTCCCTTGCGGGTTTTTATCGTGCATCATTTATCTTTTCTTTTATTTTCTTTGATATTTTTGCCCATGATGCCCTTGCGGGTTTCGCCATGTCGGTCCTTTTGAGGGGGTAATTTTTAAGGTCACGCCACTGTGACCCTGGGGAGGTAAGTTTACGGCCATGCCATCTTGACCGTCGATTTGGTGTAATTAAAGATCTTCCACTAAAACCGAATGAAGTAATTTTTAAGGTCACGCCTTCAAGACCGTAGAGTGGTGTGTTTTAAGGTCATCCACCAAGACCGAGTGACGGAATTTTTAAGGTCACACCTTCGGGACCGTAGAGTTGGTGTGTTTTAAGGTCATCCACCAAGACCGAGTTGGTTAGGTGCCTTGATCTCGCCCTCCGGGTCGGGTAGACCTAGTGGCGTGGTTTCGGGTTCGAGATGGACCCGGGACCTGAGATCGCTCTCTCGGGAACCAGGTAAATAAGACGTGGGTAAGAGAACCAACCTGTAAGAGAGGAATTAAGGTCGTGAGGTGGGATTTACCTCACGTGGGTCTGCGACACGCTCGGGCTGGCTCACGTGGGTGCCCTCTTAGATCACGTTGGAATGCCCCCTGGACTATGGCCGGTTTGGAATCACCTCCTTTGACATGTTTCTCCTTTCTTGCAAATACACACATACACATTAGAAGTACAGACGAGTGGGGCATAGGTCCCCACCTTGTTACAGGGTGGAGAAGAAGTTTGACCGGGCTAGGCTGGCACAGTGGCTAGACCAGTACAGTGATTGATTTGACGTGGTAGCAAGATGGGCATGGTAACTCAGACCGGCACGGCGGCCATACTACTCGACGACAGAACCAACACTGACCAACCTGACATGATGGCTAGTATGTCGTGGCAGTAAGACGGGCAGCGTAACTCACACCGACACGGCGGCAATATTGCTTGACGACAAGACTAGCACGAGAGTACAAGGCTCAGCCTACCCTCTGGTCAAATAAGCGATGGAGAGAAAGAGAGAGACGAAAGTGAAAATAAAAGTGATGGAAAATGAGATGAAAGGAAAATGAAAGAGGTGAATTAAAATAAAATAGAATTAGAATTAAATAAATTAAAATAGAATGAAGTGAACTGAGATAATAAAATGAAGTGGAATGAAATAAAAGGGATGGAAGAAAATAAAAAAAGATGAGATAAAAGAAGATAGAATAAAATCAATGAAGCAAATAAAATAAAATAGATAGGTGAAAATGAGTGAAATATATGTAACAAGATAGAATAAGGGGAAAAAAAAAAAAATGAAGAGAAGAGGATGACAATGAAAGGGAGGAGGTAGAAGGAGTAAAATGAAGTAACTTTAAAAAAATTAATTGCGAGAGAGGTTGTTGGGTTTAGCTGGAAGGAAGAGATAATGTAAAATAAATAAAATAAAATAAGAGGAAAAAAAAAAAAGTGTTGAAGATAATGTAATGGATTATGGTTGAGTGTAATGAGACAAAGTAAGATTAAGGAAAAAGAAGTAACGTAATTAAGAGAGAGAGGAAAGCGGTTGTTGGTTTATCATATTATTCTTGAAGTGAGAGAAAGAAAGTGAGGTAGGATATTGTTTTTTTTTATTTGAACAAGTGGGTATAAAGTTAGCTAATGAAAAAAAAGGGTAAAGTTGTTTAAGAGAGAAAAGGGG